TGTAGTCCTGGACACGTGAAGACGAGCCCAAGAGCAATAAACTCCAGAGCTATAAGCATATTAATATGCACATACAGACATGCTTCTGTTGACAGTGTAGCTTACCTGATATCAAGAAGCCAAGAGAGGATTTTGGGCACATCCTTTTGATTGAACAATGCTTCAGGGGCCCCTGTGCTGCTAAAGCAGCACAAGCAGGCCAATCTAATGCCCTAATAGCAGAGGTCCTTGTGTTTTAGCACCTAATGGTGTGATAAACTTACCACCTACAATTTTAATAATCTGCTGTTTTCTGAGAGACACAGCTAGCTGAACAATGCTGCCATTTCCTGAAAATAAATTGCCTTTCTTCTTCAGTTGCTCTTAAATACAGTTGTGGAGATGAGAACAATCAAATTTCCATATCTTCTGACTTAAGTACTTGTGACATTATAGAATTACACAAAGAAATCTACTATAACATTAGTGCTTTCCTGAAGTAGTAAATGAACAATTGAAAGGCCCAGTTTCAAAAAAGGGAAAGAAATTGGAAATAGAAGTAGAATAAATACAAGGGTGGTAGTAATCTTTCTGATTCTTTGCCCACTCATTTAGTGGTGCACTCTTCCAGTCTTGATTTTCCTTAGAATGAAGGATTTTTAATCTTCCATAATTGTGGAAAGTTAATAGTGCTAGAGTGGCCTGTGTGTGTGATATATACAAATAAATAAAATGAATGCTTGCTGTTCTTTGTGGATCTAACCTGAAGGCCAGTTAAATTAGTGGAATAGCTCAGTTGATTTCAGTGGGTTTGGGATCAGGCTGTGGGTCTTGCATACTATGTATTCTCACATATGATGCATCTTTTTCCTCAAAAAACCCCAATTTTTGGTAATTGGAGTTCACATTATATATGAGAAATATGGTAAGAGCAGGTTTGGATGCTTACTGTTAAAACTTGCAAGTAAAATCTGCAGCAATCCTCAGGAAGCAAAAAAAAAATAGAGAGGGCTTGGATTGCCTTTTAGCTGCTGCTGCTGCTGCTACTCACTCACTCCAATGAAATATATTTGTTTTTTTTCATTCTGTCCACAAGGTGTGCATCATATTCTGAGGTGTGTTTGTATGCAAGGAAAATATGGCAGTTAAATGACCCAATAGTGGAGTCATGAAAGTAATAAACTGCAGTAAACGAACTATATTGTTGCATATGCATCACCCTGTGGAGAAGCAGAGCTTCCCTTCATGTAAATGGAATTATTGCAATTTATACCAGCTGAGTATCTGCACCTGAGAACTTTTAATCATGAGTAGACCCACTAGCTTCAGTGGGACTATTTTGTGTATAAAGCTCACTGACATCAGTGAAAGTTGCACAGTGTATACTTTGCTAATTTGTATGATAAGCAAAACAGGGATCAAAAGGTTGAAATACATTGTATAAAATGTATACAGCAAGAATGGCAGTGGCATGAAATAATTATTGAGATGCATTTATCAAAGTCTTCCTGAACACAGCTTTCCTTGCATTGGACCCTGGATTCCCTTTTCAGGCAAAACTACCATTGAGAGTCACCTGTCTGTATAAGGGCTGAAAGTCTAACATAACGTACTCTCTTTAAGATGACTATTTATATTAACCTGTAGTCAAGTAATATCCATTTTTGTAAGTTGTTAGACACCAGATAGTTTCAGTTTGATAATGTTAATCTTTTGATCAAAAAAACCCCTTAAAATACTAAGGTCACAAAGTTGATTTGCTAGCTGGGATCAGGAAACAGTGAAGTTCCATGTGGAATGTGACATTTTTTTCCCCCTTGTGAACTTGCATGATAATTTGGTTTAATTAATTTGGCAATATAATAATTTATTACTGTTCACACATTTCTATTCAATTATGCAAATACGTTTTAGAGAAACATTTAGTATCACTGGAACCTAAGATGTATGTTTGTGGCATGTGACAGTAACGGTGGATGTCACTCAAAGGAGATAGTCACCTACTATTTTTAAGATTCATTCAACATGACTTTTCCCAAACAATACTAGGTATACCCAGTACATAGTAATATATTTCTCTATCTGGCAGTTAGCAATGGCATATCATTCTACTTGTATTTCATTTTATTATACGTTTTTAACTGAGAAGGGTATAAAATGGCTGCTTCTCATTCAAAATTCTAAAAACACATATCTCTGAAATAAATGTTACAATTTAGCTTTTAAACTAAGCTGAAATGTTTAAACCTAAGTGATCAGAATTCTGTATGTTTCTTTTCAGCTGTCTCCTGTAAAACTGCTTGCCATGTTATTTCCCCTACAAAACAGATAGTTAAATCTAAACTTATTTCAAAGCCCACTGAGCACTACATGTATACAGACGAATTGTTATACATACTTTCAAGATGATCTGCAAACAGATTTATACCCTGCTTTGTTTTTCTTTGTGTAACAAATGCCACAATGGATTTACATTTTTAATTAAAATCTTGCCTAGCTTAGAGACTATAGTGACTGGAAAAGTAGTAAAATCCTGACTTTAAAAACGTAACACAATGAGATGAGAGCTGATAAATTCTGAGAGCATCTTTATCTATGTTACAGGGGTGTAGGTTGTAGCTGTGTTGGTCTAAGGACATAGGCAGACGAGGTTCTTTGGGTGAATCTGATATCTTTTATTAGACCAACTTAAATAGTTGGAAAACAATTTTTAAGCAAGCCTGCGGGTTCGAAAACCCTTAGTCAGGCTAAGGAAGTTTCAGCAGTTGGTGTGTGCTCTTCCTGGATGGAATGAAAAGTAAAGAAGCCAGAGGCTGGGCTGGTATGCATGCAAGACAGGCCTGGCACAGTGCTTGGGAGTAATGTGTGGATGATCAACTTGAATGTAAAATAAGGTACTAAACCCACAAGCAAGGTTATTTTAGTACAATTGGAAGCACTGGAATGTAAATGAGCTCAGTTTTAATCACCTTAATGTGAAAGAGTTGATAGAGAATGGACCCTAAGAAACCAAAGGAACTGAGGGCACCGGGGGCTAGGTAAAAAGGGAGAAGCTGAATGGACCCCTAACCCAAGAAAGTGTAGGAGAAAGAAGAGGACCCAGCTAAGTGAATCCTGAAGGAATGATCAGTGAAAACTAGGAAAAGACAAAATTTGTTAAAGCTGTGCATGATGTCTCAAGAAGCATACAATAGGCACTGAAGAGTGAAAATAGAGTTGGGGCTGTAAGAGCCAGAGAAGGTTGTTAGAAGTGTGATTCAGAGCAGTTTCAGTGGAGAGTGAAGACTGAATTGGACAGCATCCAGAGTGAACTTGGGAAACATAGATCAAGCTGCTGCTGTAAATGGTCTAATCAGTGAGGTTAGAGGTGTAAGAGACAGACTAGGAAGGGGTGTTGTTGCACTGAGAATAACCTCCTCCCAGAACAAGGTGGAGGAGGGAGTTAATGTTGGGCTGAGCAGCTAGAAGACTCTATGGGGGGAAGCAGGTAGAAGAATTAGAACTGCTGCAAGAGACAATATGGTGCCTTTCCCAGGGGAAGAGATGAGGGTAGTGGGAAATCTCTAACTGCCCAGCTGTAGTCAAAGGCCTGGGCCTGGATTTCTAATTGTGGTATGAAATTCCCAGGCATGGGAAGGACCTAGACCTGCCGCTGGCGCCCAGCCCTCGGGAGCTCATGTCCTTCTCCCTGCCTAGCTTTCTTCTTTCCGCCACGAGGTGACAGCTGCCGCAGCAGGCCCCAGCTCGGAACCGGGGCGGGAACGCCAAGGATCTGAGACGAGAAAGCGGCCGGAAAGCTTCCCCGCCCTCCACCACCCCTACTCCACCTTAGGAACCGAGAGCCCTTTAGTCCTTCAGTCCTCAGGGGCCGCCCGGGCCCGCGGCAGTGCCGGGCCGCTGATGGAGAGCGGTGGGCGCTGGGGAGGCCCCTCGGAGCCCCCCCCGCGCCGGAGGACGCCAAGCCCCTGAGGGGGCCTCTGCCCACTGACCAGGGGCAGCTCTGAGGGCACGGAGCGGCGAGGTGGCCGCGGCTGGGCACCGGGGGTGAGGAAAGGCTTCGCGGCGGTCTCCAGCCTTCCGCGGGCAGCTCCCGTCCCTCCGGCGCTTCCGCGCTGGCCCGTGGCTGTGGTGCGCGGGCTGGACCGGCGGAACCGAAGCCCTGCAGCGCCAGGCGACGTCTGCGTAACGGGACGGCCGCCTCCGGGACGCAAGCAGGGACTTGCCTCCGGTCCCACGCGGCAGCCCTCGGGCCTGGGGGCAGCTACTGGCCCCCGGGGCTGCGCTTCCCCGGCGCAACGCCTGCAGCCGCTCGGGCTTGGGAAGACGCCTCTCCCCGCATAGCTCTGCCCGGGTGCAAAGAGGAGCACGGGGGGGGGGGGG